CCTGGTGGTGATGTCGCCAAAGTCGCTGCTCCGCCACAAGCTCGTCAAGAGCGACATCGAGGACTTTGCCGTCGGCTCGCGGTTCCACCGCTACCTGCCCGACGCGTCACCGGCTCTCAAGGCGCCCGACCAGATCCGCAAGCTCGTACTGTGCACGGGCAAGGTGGGCTGCGACATCCTCCCACTCCCCCTCGCTGCCTTCCCTCCCCCTCTCTCTCTCTCTATCTCGTCCTGTGCCCGGGCGAGGTGGAGTAGTACGTCCTCGCAGAGCGCGAGAAGAACAGCGTCACCGACGTCGACATCGGCCGGCTCGAGCAGATCTAGATCTTCCCCTACGAGCACGTGCTCGAGGAGGCGACGAGAAAAAAGCACCCGCGCACGCGCACGCACGCACCCGCACACGCACACGCACACGCACACGCACACGCACACACACACACACACACACACACACACACACACACACGCACGCACGCGCACGCGCAAGTGCACGCTCGCACACACACACACACACACACACACACACACACACATGCATGCATGCACACACACACACACACATGCATGCACAGACACACAGCCCCTTCCCCTCCCCCCTCAAGGGCGAGGACACGCGCAGGCCGCACCTCGGTAGTGAGGCCCGCATAGCATGTGGGAGACTCGTGCCGCCGCCCCTGCCACCCCTGTGTCAGTGTGCCCGTGGTAGTGAGAGACTGCCGGTGAGAAGCCGGAGGAAGGTCGCTAGACTGAGATGAGACCGCCAGTGGAGTTGGGATTCCACCGCGCACCGCGCTGCGAGCCTGTCGTGTCCCTTGTCAGGAGCAGGAGAGCCCCACCTGTCCCCCTGATCGTCCTTCCAAAATCCTGCTCGTGCAGGTGTGGACCCTGTCCTCCTCCCCTATCCCTCGTTTGGGTTGTCTGTTTTCTTTCTTACTCACTGTGACTCCACCACTGCACGAAATGTTGCGATCGGTCCTCGGGTGGAACGCCGCGAAGCGGCGGTACGTCGCGGAGGCGAAAGTGATGCTGATGGTGGCGCTGCTCTGTTCTTAACTTTGTTTTCTGTTCCGCACAAAATGCAAAGCCAGTTTTGCGTGGCCCCCCTACCCCCCAAGGCGCCGGAACCCAAACGATGGCGAGTGCACGCGAGCGGAGTGGCGCAGGATCCCTGAGCTGCTCCGACACGGTCGTGCTAGCGGCGGAGCGAGGCGAGGAGGAGGCGGTGCTGGCGCTGCTCGAGGGCGGCGGGCGGGCCGACGCGACGTACGAGAGAGACGGCGTGAGCGGCATCACGCTGCTGATGGGCGCCGCCTACCACGGCCACTTCGGGGTGGTCGAGTTGTTGCTGCGGGGCGGGGCAGAGATCGACCTGCAGAACAGCGACGGCATCACCGCGCTGATGGGCGCCGCCCGCTGCGGCCACGATCGGGTGGCTGAGCTGCTGCTGCAGCACGGCGCGGAGCTCAACGTGCAGAGCCACGGCGGCGCCACCGCGCTGATGGGCGCCGCCTTCCAAGGCCACGAGCGGGTGGTCGAGGTGCTGCTGCAGCACGGTGCGGAGATCAACCTGCAGAGGAGCGACGGCGTCGCCGCGCTGATGCTCGCCGCCCACTACGGCCACGAGCGGGTGAGCGAGTTGCTGATTCGGCACGGCGCTGACGTCAACCTGCAGAGCAGCAACGGCTTCACCGCGCTGATAGCCGCCGCCAACTGCGGCCACGAGCGGGTGGTCGAGCTGCTGATACGGCATGGCGCTGACGTCAACCTGCAGGACAGCGACGGCTTCACCGCGCTGATAGCCGCCGCCCTCCTCAATCGCCCCGCCGTCGTGCAGCGCTTGCTGCGGGCGGGCGCAGACGCGGCGCGCACTGTCAACGGCAAGACGGCGCTGCAGCTGGCCAAGGAAAAGGGCCACGCCGAGTGCGTCGAGATCTTGGCCGAGGCGGCGGCGGCTGCAGATGGCCGGGTAGGGGCGGGCGGCGCTTCCTCGGGCGCGGCAGCGGCAGCGGTGGACGCGCCGCTGCTCGGCCAGCGAGTCGAGCTCGGCGGGCTCTCCTCCCGCCCCGAGCTCAACGGGCAGCGGGGCGAGGCGCGGAGCTTCGAGGGCGGGCGGTACGCGGTGGCGCTCGAGGGCGGCGGCGAGAGCGTGCGGGTGCGGCCGGGTAATCTGTCGCCGGCGGCGGCGGCGCCGAGCGGGTGGCGTGGCAGTCTCCGACGGAATGGGGTTTTCGTGCAGCGGCTGGGAGGCGGAGCGCGGTGCTGGCGTGGCTCGAGGCGCGGCGGCCGACGCGACGTGAGAGAGCGGCTTGAGCGCCTCACGCTGCTGATGACCGCCGCCAACAACGGCCACGAGCGGGTGATCGAGCTGTTGCTGCGGCACGGCGCTGAGTCAACCTGCAGAGGAGCAACGGCTTCACCGCGCTATGCTCGCCGCCTACAAAGGCCACGAGCAGTGTCGACTTGCTCATCACCACGCGCGGAGAGGTA